TCCCAGTAGTTTTCCCCCTTGCCCCAGCACTGCTCTGTGCCTTCAATAGGTAGAAATTCTGCAGGGGGAAATCTTATTGTTTCATACATAGTTTACCTGATGAATTCCTATTTGGTTAAAAAGAAAAGCTGCTTGTTGGTGTTTTAGAAATATTTCCCACACCTTCATTTATTAATGGTGTTCATAAAGGGCATGAATAAATTTGTATGAAGTGGTCATGCAGAGATTTTGGATCCAAGTTGTCTGCTTCTTTCTATAAAATGGGTTAATTAACACACCTCTTTCACTCATCCCTGTCAGCAGAAGAAATTCTGGAGTGCATTATTTTTTTACTGGTTATCAGACGTGTGCATTTGAATCTATAGTTACCAGATAAAGAGTTATGGGAAGGAGCACGTGGTCTGTTGAGTGTACATAGTGCTGATGTAAGCAACCCGGAAGGTAAGTTGATTTTGACTATATGTAGGAACAATCAGCAGAGGAGTGATGTACGCACAGCATAGCTGGGTGTGGCTTTGCAAGCTGCTAAACAAGTCCCAACTAGCAAAATAAGCAGGGCTACCTGGAAAGGTAAAGCCACAACATCTAGTTCTTTAAGGAAAGAGATTTTTAGTTCTAAAAGTTTGTCACAATAGAACATCCTGTATCTTTCAGATCACTCACATTTCAAGGAATTTTGGCCTATTTACATTGCTGAAGTCCATTTGGTGCTTTTTTCAATGGTATCTGTCTGAAAGCTCAATCCAAGAGATTTTCAGTACAAGAGGAAGGGGGGTGATTCCTTACCATCCCAGAATGTAACAACTAGCTACAGGTTGCTGAGCTTGATCTTGTGGAATGGTCAAATCAAATGCCCCCTTGCTTCTGTGGTATTAACCAATGTAAGAGAAATTCAATAGGTGTAACCTTTCTACATGGAAGTGTAGCATTACTGGTTGAATTTCTTCCTGGCATGGAGCTGCTAGAGCCCCAGGAGTCCTGCCAAAAACAACTCTGGCAATTCTATACCAAATGAAAAGTATGGGTATCTCCTTTTAGTTGGCAGAAGTTCTGTAGCTATTAACAGGTAGGAATCAACAGCCAAAACTTTCCCCATGGCTGCAATCTTCATTTTTGGAAAGGCTTTGTCTGTTCGTTTTGCCCTGATACATGACCATCTCAGTCCATAAACAGACTGCTACACATATAGGAAAAAGGGAAAATATAGAGGTCTTGGGCATGAGTTTGAGTTCCCATGTGAGATACCCAAAGAAAGCAAAAAAGGCAATGGGAGTAGTATAGTAGTACCAGGCTGAGTGAGATTGGAGCTGATCTTTTAAAGTCCTATAATCAGTATATATACCTTAAGCATCAGTGTACAAAATTTTTAGTACTCTGATAGCCCCAACCATTGAAGTAGCATTGAGGTAACATGGAAACAAGTAGCAGTTTGGTGTAGTGGTTAAGTGCGCGGACTCTAATCTGGGAGAACCGGGTTTGATTCCCCACGCCTCCACTTGCACCTGGCTGGATGACCTTGGGCAAGCCATAACTCTGGCACAGCTGTTCTTGAAAAAGAGCAGTTTCTGTCAAGAGTTCTCTCAGCCCCACCTACCTCACAGGGTGTCTGTTGTGGGGAGGGGAAGAGAAAGGAGTTTGTAAGCCACTCTGAGACACCATTGGGTAGTGAAGGGTGGGGTATAAATCCAATCTCTTCTTCTTGAAAAAAAAAGTGTAGGGTTAATACACCCATTTATGTTCCCTGTTATGGGGGTAGCTATTTGGCAACCTGTAGGCTATATTACAGCACTGTCAGCCAACAGAAGTGACATGTCCAACAACTGACCAAATAAAATTGCACTTATTTTAGAATAAATGGAAAAGTAGCTTATTGGCAAAAGAATCAAAAGCAACTGTTAAAAGAAATGTTACTAGTAGCTGTCATATTTTATTATGGAATTCTGGATAGCTGACTTCAAATGCCATCATTGTGTCCTAATAGCAAACTTGATGGTCTATTGCCTACCAATAGGGCAGCAAAATGAGGCCACCCTCAGATCAGGCATGCTTAAAAGGCTCCCCCAATATACAGAAAAGCAGTAAATAAATCCACCAGCATGGCAACACCAGAAAATGGCCTTATTAATTCCAAACACCCTTCCAGGAGAGTAGCTAGGCATCACTTGAAAACAGCTGGCATAGGAGAGGGTACGTTGGTATACTCAAGGCTGTTGGGGGTTTCAGTATTCTGAAGGTTGCAGGGCATTCACACATGACCCAGAGGGAAGGGGAGAAACAATATTTTCCTCTCTGCACTGTACTGCTCAGGTTGGAGGCTAAGTGAGCAGCTTTTTGTTGTCAACATTTTTGATAGGGGGGAAGAAAGAATGAAAAGACTAACGGGAGGGGAGAACTTGGCCTGCTAAGGCTCATAAGCATTTGAAGTGAAGAATTAGGGCAAGGGGGATGTGTGTTCCCTACTGCTGTGCTACTCCAGGCCAAATCTATGAAGCTGTCTCATGCTACTCAGGCTACTGGTCCACCTAACTCAGTGTTGTTTTCTTCAACTGACACTGGTATTCTTGAGCAGAGGACAATTAAGATCCTCTAATTAGGGGTAAGGTAAAGGTTCCCTTGCTCGAAAGCCAGTCGATTCTGACTCTAGGGTTGCGGTGCTCATCTCCGTTTCAAAGCCGAAGAGCCAGCACTGTCCGAAGACGTTTCCGTGGTCATGTGGCTGGCATGACTAAACACCAAGTCGCACGGAACGCTGTTACCTTCCCACCAAAGTGGTACCTATTTATCTACTTGCAGTTTCTTGCTTTCGAACTGCTAGGTTGGCAGGAGCTGGAACTAGAGACGGGAGCTCACCCCGTCTTGCGGCACCCGGGTCTCGAACTGCTGAACTACCGACCTTCCACAGCCTGCAGTTCAGCGTCTTAACCACTTGAGCCACCGCAGCGCCTCTAATTAGGGGTACTGGGAACTGAATCTGGGACTTTTCCCATAGAAAGCAGGTACTCTGCTACTGATCCATAACCCCAAAAGGTTGGGTTTTTTTTAAAGGCTTTCAAGAAAGGTGTTTTGAATCCATTCTCCCTTTAGTGATTAGAATGCTCCAAGGGGAGTAAAGCCACCCCCCTCAGACTGACATAGCCTGAGGATGCTTTACATTTTTAAAGACTCTGTTAACTTTGAAACTAAAAGTGTCCTGACGGGGGAGATTAATCAAGACCAGGGGAAAACCACCCACCTCTCAACTCTTGAAGCTGCAAACAGG